TTTAATTATTCTGCTTATCTTTTCTCAATTTGGTGTGTTAATTTGCTTAAAATTGTGCAGAATGTGACAGGTTGTACCCACGGTGATTGGCAGTTTGATTTTCCGTCCTTGTATTTTCCAAATTTGATTTCTCTGTCCGGATTGTTGTGCTTCACTCGATTGAATATGCTATTCTCTATTTCGCTTCCCTATTTTTTCTCAATTTTGAACGATCTTCTTTATTTTCATGATTTCTGCCCTGTAGTCAATTGTAGTAGACAGCGTTATTATTATTAGCATTATTCTTAGCATGACACTTTAACGTTCGGCGCGTATGTTGTTGTTTGATATATTAAAGAAACTATTTGCCAAGGCTACATTGGTGGTTTCTAATTTATAAAATGAAATTTGTGTTGACTGTACCTGCTGGTGTGATTTGTGTTTTTTTATGAATAATCAATTTTCCATGTCATGATGCGCAGTGATGCACTGATTTGGAGGGGAAGTTTGAATTTGGGTGGTTGATTCAGTATGCTTAACAATTGCTTGCTTTCGAGTTGTCTTCTTGTTGCGAAAGTGTCATTAAATATTTAAATACAAATATCGTACATTAGGAGAAGGTATTGGTAGTTTGGTCACATTCTGCCAATACGGTCCGTTTGTTGTTCGATCGTGGTTATCCTGTCCCAAAGGCTCCTTGGCCCAAAGTCGAAACCAGTGTCCATGCCTATCCTTTGTGGATCTACTATGTGTAGGTAATGGTAATATTTGTCGTAGGGATTCACTGGCTGCCAGTCTACTTGCGGCATGCGTGGTTCGCTGTAATGTTTTGAAATCTGTTGTCAATAATTCATGTAGAAAAAATGATATTATTAAAAATTGCAAAAACTGGTGAGTTTATTTACCCATGTGTAGCGAATGATATGTAAATATCGAGCAGTATTTGTTGCATTTGCACATCACTTGACCACGTCACATTCATTAATGGAGTGACGGTCACGAGGTATATGTCCTCGCCATTATTCACTCCTGTGTTGATAATATTGTTAATTTAGTGCACTATACACTTAACGCACTATAAACTTATTCGTACTAAAGGTATTTCATACTTTACATATTTTAAATATCGAAATTCTTTTGATATTCATCTACAGAATGTAAAAAGCATTACCAAGCTTTCTTGTTTGACGCATCAGAGCTTCAGTTATGCTGTACATCGTTTTGTAACTGTAGACGTAGGTCCACATTGGGCACTTATTTCTTTTTGCTTGCAATCTCATCGCTTTCTCCATACAATAGCCCCATTGTCGGTCACCTAACATACTTATTATAGGAATTATACTGTTCCTGTCGATTGGTTCAGATCCTAGATAATGTTTTCTGGTCTCTTCTGCTACCTGCCTTTTCTGATTTGGTGGAATAGTATCGTTAAAAATGAGCATATGGGGTGCAATGTCGTTCCAATTGTCATTCAGTTGCTTTAACAGTGTATCATTAAAGATGAATGCTATGAAAACTTGACTTATATAGAATTACTATAAAAATATATTTAATTTTATATGATAAGATGTCAGACCTTCAGCATGGAGTAATCCTTCTTGGTTAGTTATTCCAGATATTCAAGGGACATCGTATGCTTCCCCTCTAACGATGATATCCACCGGAGGACGAGAAATGAAAGCATGAGGTCCGGGTTCCTCGATAACTATACCGAAAGGGACAAAAGGATAGAATACCCATACCTGTAATTAATGATTTGAGGATTATTATTCTGTTATATTATAAATAAATTATCTTATAATCTAAAATCTTATTAATACATTATGTGGAAATATTTAATTTTGTCAACTTATGTTAGAATACTTCATTATCTTGTTATCGTCATATTTTTAACAATATATTTTTAACGCGTATTGCTGTTCGATGTGTAGCTTGTCCGAATCGGTAGGTGTAAATTATACACTTACAGACATACAAAATACAATGAATTATCGAACGGAATATATATTAATTATTCCATATTAATGAAAGTCTAAGGAAACAAAATTCTACTCAGCGAAAAAGGATTTACCAGGTAATCATCAAGAGCTCGCGTTAATAGATTAGCAGGACGAGTTTGCACACAATTGACCATCTCCGTTTCGCAGGTTGTTGGACATCCCACGGTAGCAGCCATCTTTCTAGCCTTATCGCGAGCTTGTCCCATCCTAGACCAAGGAGCGAGTGCCACGCCACCTATCGATATTCCTCCTGTACGAAATGTAGTATGAAATAAGTCTCAATATCAGCAAGACAATATACTGCGATCGTAACCACGTACTATGGAAAAGTCCAGCGCTCAGTGGCGTCAAATAATGCTAATGGACACTAGAGGCTCCTGAGCTGAAACCAAAAAGAGTTACGCGTTTCGGATCCCCACCGAAGTTCTGGATCTTGTTCCACACCCATCGTAGAGCCAAGCTTTGATCCTTCATTCCCATATTACCGGGCACTACACTATCTCCCGTGCTTAGAAAACCTGAAACAAATTTTTGGACGACTCTATTTAGAATTGTATCAACCCTTCACGTCGTAATATTTGTATTTATTAAATCGAATATCCTGTACGTAGCAAGACGAATTTCTGTAATTGTATTATTTTTATAACTTCAACTACAATAGTCCAAAAGGAACTACTACTGCAGACAGATAATTTTCTTATTACTGTTAGCATTAAAATTAATATATTTCTGTTTAAAAAAAGTCACCATAATTTACTGTTTCTAGGGATTTATTTTATATTTTATGTGTAATCTTACCGAATGGTCCCAAACGATAATTGAACGTGAACACTACGACATCACGGTCCATCATGAGTGTCTTGTTCAGATCGCTTCCACTGCCGAACAAATTGGCGCCGCCATGAATCCAGAAAATGACAGGTAACAGAGTGTTCTTGCTCTTCCTAATTGCAGCGTAAATGTCCAGATACAAACAATCCTCAGAACCAGGGATGGGAGGTAAATATCCAACTGAGTACGACGGATAATACTGTGTGCAGATAGAGCACTTCTTCGTGGCTAATAGCTCACCCGACCATTCTTCGGCTGGGTGTGGTGGCTGAATATTCATAATGTACTTCCTAAGTATTATCTTATAATAAACAATTTCATTTTCTTAATAACAATATTACCAAACTAACTAAGTAATTAATTAAAATTAATTATATATATCAGGTTTAGATATTATCCAACTTTTGCAGGTACCTCTAGTGTTAACGCTTTATTCAACATACCTGAAATCTAAGTTTGCCAACTGGGGGTTGCGCATAGCGAATGCCCTCGAAGGCTTCGTATTCTCTGCCGTGCCAAGAGATCGTATAGTATCCTCGTATGGTTTCCAGGGATGTGCTGACCCATGGAATCTTACCATTCTGCAATGAAAAATCAAGGAATCCCAGGAGGAACAAAGTTGCCGATACCTTCACCGCGAACATTCTTAAACTGTGTGTTCCACTAGCAGTGATATCAACCTTTTATATATTTAAGTGCATTATATAGCTTTATATAATTCAGTGACTTTCCGTTTTTTACCTAGATCCATTCAACAATCATCAACAACAACAGCATGTGCTTGTGGAGTCACTATGACGATGCATACGCGGAACATCCAAAATTCTGAGAAAGTACTGTTACAAAATATTGATTGCAGAAAATGATTTTGCTAGTGTACTAATAGGAGTAACAACCTTTCGGCAATCGAAGAATCTTGTCTGTGCAGTGCCAAGATGATTGAATGATACGACACTTTAAGAAAGATCAGACGAAAATTTACTAACTGGCAAATATCTGTTGATAAATTGAAATATTACTTCTTATTGGCTGTGACTCTATTACATCGTCCCGTGTACACAACCTAGAAGAAAACGATAACTACAACATTCACAACAAATTTCAGGCGCCATATGGTAAAGTTTGATTAAATAGCCAAAACCCTAAACGTCTATATTACTAAAACAAGGTGACCAATTTTTCTCCAGTCTTTTGCTAGAAAAACAACTAACTGAGTCAGTAATTCTCTTTTTATAAAAGTGTCAAATAAACGAAATGATAGCTCTAATGCACTACCAGATACTTCGCTTAAATATTATACTACGTTATATAAAGAACAAGGAGTGAGAAAGTTTGAGAATTAGGATTACGAATTGACAGAGAGAGGAAGAGAGGAAGGGATCGATGAGAACGTGTAATGGAATGGACAAGAGGGCATGAAGAGAAAAAGAAACGAAGAATTTATCTACATGATACAAGGCTCGTTTTTGGCAACGTGTTTTTCGTCAATGGGGGCGAACCTTGCAACTTTATATACATTGTATAAGTAAGTATAAATGCGTGCTATTTACGCATAGAGTAGCCAATTTTTATCTAAGGTAACAATAAGTCTTCGCGTGAATGTTTTTACCATGGCGACTGAGAGTCCTACGATGTAACAGAGATCGGTCTGCGGACAAAGCAGAATGTGCAATAAAATCGAATAAATGTACCACGAATGAGGATGAAAATTGATTAAACTGATCCTGGATGGATTAGAATTCATAAGATTTATCATGGATGAAGGATGCATCAATTATGTTGTGTATAGCAAGACGATGAACTACGCATGGTACGCGAATATACTCGACAATGATCGAGGTGAACTTTTCGGACATTTCTTTCCATATTTCCTTTTTCCTTTTTCTTTCTTTGCACTACAATCGACTATGATGATAACAGTGACATTTGTCGATATTATTCTCAGCACAAAGCGCTATCGTTTGCCTCGTCCCCGCGAGGATACCTCGGTGTTCTCTACTCTATGAAAATAGTCTAGTTTTGACATCACGAGCTGGTATAAAGTGTCCTCTTATACGACTAAACGATTTCGTACGTCAAAATATAGTGCACAGTGATTCTCACGTTCTTGTCTTGGACGGGATTGTTTCATTTTGAAGAGTTGATTCAGTTTGCTTAGGAATTATTTTACTTAGGATTATATATTTGGCATGCAAGTATTATTACATATTTAAATGCAACATAACAACGTTTGAAAGAAGGTAACCGTAGTTTGATTGCCTTTGGTCACTTTTCGCAACTTTCATCAATTTATTTGTTTTCATCAAAGTTTATCGAGGTCCAGAAGCTTCGTTGAGCAAAGTCAGAGTTGGACTCCATTTTTATAGTTCTTGGGTTTGTTATGTGCAGATAATGGAAATCTTTGTCGTTGGGGTTCAATGACGGCCAGACTGCATTCCCAACCCGAGGTTTACTGAAATTTTTAGAGATTTATTATGAAAAACTTATATAGAAGAAATGATGTGATCAGAAATTGAAAAAATTGATGACTTTATTTACCCATCTATAGCGTATGATGTGTAAAAATCGAGCAGTATTTGTTGCATTTGCACATCACTTGGCCGCGTCACACTAGAGGTTCTAGTGTCGATCACGAGGAATGTGTCGTCGGAATGACTCACTCCTGTGTTGGTAATATCGTTAATTTAGTACACCCTCAACGCGCTATAAACTTATTCGAACTAAGAATGTTTCATACTTTACTTATTTTAAATATCGAACTTCTTTTGATATTCAACTACGGAATATAAAGAGCATTACCAAAATTCCTTGTTGTGCCGCTCAGAGTGTCACTTAGGCTGTACATAGATCTGTAACTGTATAAGTAGGTCCACACTGGGCTCTTATTTTTTCTGGCTTGCAATCTCGCAGCCCTCTCGAAATTATGCGCGAATAATCGATCACCCATCATATGTATTACAGGCATCATACTGTTGCTATCGATTGGTTCAGATCCCAGATAATGTTTTCTGATCTTTTCTGCCACCTGCTTCTTCTCATTCAGTGGAATGGTATCGTTAAAATCGAGCAAATAGGGTGCAATGTCGTCCCAGTTGTCGTTCAGATGCTTTAACAGCGTATTATTAGCGACGAATTCTATGAAAACGAGACTTATATGGAATTACGATAAAAGTATAATTAATTTTATAACATAAGATATCAGACCTGCAGAAGTGTATAATCCTTCTTCGCTGACTACTCCGGAAATCCAAGGGACATCGTATGCTTCTCCACTATTGATGACATCGATCGGGGAGCGAGTGATGAAGGCATCAGGTCCATGTTTCTCGACAACTGGACCGAAGACGGAGAAAGGATTGAACAGCCAGTACTGTAATTATAGATATCAAGATTATTATGGTATTATATTATTAACATATCATGTACGGATATATAATTTTATTGCCTTATTTATATTTGTATTATGTTATCAGTTATTATTACGGTCCATTATGAGTGTCTCGTTCATGTCGTTTCCACTGCCGAACAAGTAGGCGCCGCCATGAATCCAGAAAATGACAGGTAACAGAGTGTTCTTGCCGTTCCTAATTGGAGCGTAAATGTTCACATACAGACAATCCTCGTCACCCGTGATAATTTGTCCATCGATAGCCAAACTCCTCATAAGATACTGTGTGCAGATAGAGCCCTTCTTCGTGGCTGATAGCACACCCGACCATTCTTCGGCTGGGTGTGGTGGCTGAATATTCATAATGTACTTTCTAATTATTATCTTATAATAAACAATTTCACTTTTTAATAACAATATTACCAAACCAACTAGGTAACTAATTAAAATTAATTATATATATCAGGTTTAGATATTATCCAACTTTCGCAGATACCTCTAGTGTTAACGCTTTATTCAACATACCTGAAACCTAAGTTCGCCAACCGGGGGCTGCCCATAGGGAATGCCCTCGAAGGCTTCGTATTCTCTGCCTTGCCGAGAGATCTTATAGTATCCTTGTATGGTTCCCAGGGATGTGCTGACCCATGGAATCCTATCATTTTGCAATGAAGAATCAAGGAATCCCAGGAGGAACAAAGTTACCGATACCTTCACCGCGAACATTCTTAAACTGTGTGTTCCACTAGCAGTGATATTAACCTTTTATATATTTAAGTGCATTATATAGCTTTATATAATTCAGTGACTTTCCGTTTTTTACCTAGATCCATTCAACAATCATCAACAACAACAGCATGTGCTTGTGGAGTCACTATGACGATGCATATGCGGAACATCCAGAATTCTGGGAAAGTAGCTATCACAAAGTATTTATTGCAGAAAATGATTTTGCTAGTGTACTAATAGGAGTATCAACCTTTCGACAATCGAAGAATCTTCTCTGTGTAGTGCCAAGATGATTGAATGATACGACACTTTAAGAAAGATCAGACGAAAATTTACTAACTGGCAAATATCTGTTGATAAATTGAAATATTACTTCTTATTGGCTGTGACTCTATTGCATCGCTCCGTGTGCACAACCTAGACGAAAACGATAACTACAACATTCGCGAGAAGTTTCAGGCGACAAATGGTAAAATTTGATTGAATAGCCAAAACCCTAAACGTCTATATTACTATATTATATTGCGTTATATAAAGAATACAGAGTGAGAAAGTTTGAGAATAGAGATTACGAATTGACAGAGAGAGGAAGAGAGGAAGGGATCGATGAGAACGTGTAATGGAATGGACAAGAGGGCATGAAGAGAAAAAGAAACGAAGAATTTATCTACATGATACAAGGCTCGTTTTTGGCAACGTGTTTTTCGTCAATGGGGGCGAACCTTGCAACTTTATATACATTGTATAAGTAAGTATAAATGCGTGCTATTTACGCATAGAGTAGCCAATTTTTATCTAAGGTAACAATAAGTCTTCGCGTGAATGTTTTTACCATGGCGACTGAGAGTCCTACGATGTAACAGAGATCGGTCTGCGGACAAAGCAGAATGTGCAATAAAATCGAATAAATGTACCACGAATGAGGATGAAAATTGATTAAACGGATCCTGGATGGATTAGAATTCATAAGATTTATCATGGATGAAGGATGCATCAATTATGTTGTGTATAGCAAGACGATGAACTACGCATGGTACGCGAATATACTCGACAATGATCGAGGTGAACTTTTCGGACATTTCTTTCCATATTTCCTTTTTCCTTTTTCTTTCTTTGCACTACAATCGACTATGATGATAACAGTGACATTTGTCGATATTATTCTCAGCACAAAGCGCTATCGTTTGCCTCGTCCCCGCGAGGATACCTCGGTGTTCTCTACTCTATGAAAATAGTCTAGTTTTGACATCACGAGCTGGTATAAAGTGTCCTCTTATACGACTAAACGATTTCGTACGTCAAAATATAGTGCACAGTGATTCTCACGTTCTTGTCTTGGACGGGATTGTTTCATTTTGAAGAGTTGATTCAGTTTGCTTAGGAATTATTTTACTTAGGATTATATATTTGGCATGCAAGTATTATTACATATTTAAATGCAACATAACAACGTTTGAAAGAAGGTAACCGTAGTTTGATTGCCTTTGGTCACTTTTCGCAACTTTCATCAATTTATTTGTTTTCATCAAAGTTTATCGAGGTCCAGAAGCTTCGTTGAGCAAAGTCAGAGTTGGACTCCATTTTTATAGTTCTTGGGTTTGTTATGTGCAGATAATGGAAATCTTTGTCGTTGGGGTTCAATGACGGCCAGACTGCATTCCCAACCCGAGGTTTACTGAAATTTTTAGAGATTTATTATGAAAAACTTATATAGAAGAAATGATGTGATCAGAAATTGAAAAAATTGATGACTTTATTTACCCATCTATAGCGTATGATGTGTAAAAATCGAGCAGTATTTGTTGCATTTGCACATCACTTGGCCGCGTCACACTAGAGGTTCTAGTGTCGATCACGAGGAATGTGTCGTCGGAATGACTCACTCCTGTGTTGGTAATATCGTTAATTTAGTACACCCTCAACGCGCTATAAACTTATTCGAACTAAGAATGTTTCATACTTTACTTATTTTAAATATCGAACTTCTTTTGATATTCAACTACGGAATATAAAGAGCATTACCAAAATTCCTTGTTGTGCCGCTCAGAGTGTCACTTAGGCTGTACATAGATCTGTAACTGTATAAGTAGGTCCACACTGGGCTCTTATTTTTTCTGGCTTGCAATCTCGCAGCCCTCTCGAAATTATGCGCGAATAATCGATCACCCATCATATGTATTACAGGCATCATACTGTTGCTATCGATTGGTTCAGATCCCAGATAATGTTTTCTGATCTTTTCTGCCACCTGCTTCTTCTCATTCAGTGGAATGGTATCGTTAAAATCGAGCAAATAGGGTGCAATGTCGTCCCAGTTGTCGTTCAGATGCTTTAACAGCGTATTATTAGCGACGAATTCTATGAAAACGAGACTTATATGGAATTACGATAAAAGTATAATTAATTTTATAACATAAGATATCAGACCTGCAGAAGTGTATAATCCTTCTTCGCTGACTACTCCGGAAATCCAAGGGACATCGTATGCTTCTCCACTATTGATGACATCGATCGGGGAGCGAGTGATGAAGGCATCAGGTCCATGTTTCTCGACAACTGGACCGAAGACGGAGAAAGGATTGAACAGCCAGTACTGTAATTATAGATATCAAGATTATTATGGTATTATATTATTAACATATCATGTACGGATATATAATTTTATTGCCTTATTTATATTTGTATTATGTTATCAGTTATTTTAATGGTATGCCATTAAAATGTACTGCCATTAACCCTACCAATTCGACAGGTATAAATTATACATTAACAGACATACAAAATAAAATGACTTATCCAACGGAATATATATAAATTATTCCATAGTATTGAGTGTCTAAAGAAACAAAATTCTACTCAGCGAAAAGGTATTTACTATGATGTCGTCAACAGCTTGCGATAATTGCTTAGCAGGACGCGTTCGCAGACAATTCACCATCTTCCTTACGCTACTTGTTGGACACCCCAGGACTGCAGCCAATTTTCTAGCCTTTTCAGGAGCACGTTCCGTCTGTGTCCAAGGATTGAGTGCCACGCCACTTATCGATATTCCTCCTGTTACGAAATATAGTATGAAATAAGTCTCAATATCAGCAAGACAATATACTGCGATCGTAACCACGTACTATGGAAAAGTCCAGCGCTCAGTGGTGTCAAATAATGGTAGTGGACACTAGAGGCTCCTGCGCTGAAACCCATAAGAGTTATATTTTTCGGATCCCCACCGAAGTTCTCGATGTTCTTCGACACCCAGCGTAGTGCCAGATTTTGATCCTTCAACCCCATGTTTCCGGGCACCAAGCTATCCCCCGTGCTTAGAAAACCTGAAACAAATTTTTGGACGAATCTGTTTAGAATTGTATCAACCCTCCACGTCGTAATACTTTGTATTTATTAAGTCGAATATCCTGTACATAGCGAGATGAATTTCTGTAGTTGTATTATTTTCATAACTTCAACTACAATAGTCCAAAAGGGACTACTACTGCAGACAGATCATTTTCTTATTACTGTTAACATTACAATTAATATATTTCTGTTTAAAAAAAGGCATCATAATTTACTGTTTCTAGGGATTTATTATATATTCTATGTGTAATCTTACCGAATGGTCCCAAACGATAATTGACCGTGACCAGCACGACATCACGGTCCATTATGAGTGTCTCGTTCATGTCGTTTCCACTGCCGAACAAGTAGGCGCCGCCATGAATCCAGAAAATGACAGGTAACAGAGTGTTCTTGCCGTTCCTAATTGGAGCGTAAATGTTCACATACAGACAATCCTCGTCACCCGTGATAATTTGTCCATCGATAGCCATACTCCTCATAAGATACTGTGTGCAGATAGAGCCCTTCTTCGTGGCTGATAGCACACCCGACCATTCTTCGGCTGGGTGTGGTGGCTGAATATTCATAATGTACTTTCTAATTATTATCTTATAATAAACAATTTCATTTTTTTAATAACAATATTACCAAACCAACTAGGTAACTAATTAAAATTAATTATATATATCAGGTTTAGATATTATCCAACTTTCGCAGATACCTCTAGTGTTAACGCTTTATTCAACATACCTGAAACCTAAGTTCGCCAACCGGGGGCTGCCCATAGGGAATGCCCTCGAAGGCTTCGTATTCTCTGCCTTGCCGAGAGATCTTATGGTATCCTCGCACGGTTCCCAGGGATGTTCTGACTTTAGGAGTCTTGTCATCCTGCAACGATAAATTGAGGAAGCCCAAGAGGAGCAAAACTGTCGTCAGTTTCATCGCGATCGTTCTGAAATTATGTGCCCAACTAGCAGTGCTAGTTGTCTTTTATAATGTTCGTAACATGATAAGCACATGTTGTATATGATACAATTTTGCACCTTTTTTTTCACGTGTAGCATTATATAACGAAAAGACTTATCTTTGGTACATTGCGAATTTACCAAATGATAACGGCATGTACTCTAGTCATTAGGGTGATTGTTTCGAAATATTGATTCCTAGACATATGTTTTGCAGGTAAGTTAATAGAAGTATTTATCTTTGGTTAAGCAAAGGATCTTATCTCTGCCATGCAAAATTGATTGAATGGACATGATTCTCGAGGAAAGATCAGATCAATCTGTATTAACTATCAAGTATCTGTTGACAAATTTACATATGACTGTTGATTGGTTTTAGCTCTATTTATATCATGCAATGTGCACATGCTGCGAGCAAACGATACCTACCCTGTACCCCTCCGAGAAGTTTCATGCGAAAAATGGAAAAATGTGTGCATCTACTGTATATCTGAATTCTATAAAAATATAAACAGTATACCAACGGAAAAAGGGTATAAAGAATAATGTATCTACAGAATGCCTATTTTATTTGGAATTATGAAAATGTCTGGAAAAGCATGCACTTCGCGTGAATGTTAGAAAATGTCTTGTGAGAAGGTAAATTACTAATATTAAAATTGCTTATATATATTGCTTATATATATATATATGAAAATCTCTGTCGTCGCAAAGATGTTAATAACGAATTTACATCGTTTAAAATCATTGAAACTCTCCTGAAAATTAATATGTGCGTGTCTAATTATATAAGGTACCTAAAAATTTGTTCAATACGAAAAGATTAATAGCACTGCAAAACTTAACTATCGTTACCATAAATTTATTTCGGGTAATGCATTAGGTATTCATCAGGAGTTGAAAATATGAAGACAGACAATATCATTTGCATAATATATATTGGGTGATATTATAAGATATGAGTTATCGTAATTATTGGTTAGCATGAGATAACAGAAATATAACAAGTAATTATAAGACTAACGATAATCGCAAGAAATGAATAATTCATGCACAGATAAAATTCACTTTCAAATATAATTGACATTATTCCAGAGCCTGTTTCCAGAAGTTACACGTGGATACTAATCCATCGTCTTCACGCGTTTTACGTCGATTTGTGAAATAGAAATTGTAAATGTAGCAATGCGAAGAAACGTTGAGAAACGAAAATATATCGCGGAAAATTAGTGTAATTTCACGTAATTGTGAGCAAACCATGATGTATCCATTTTTACTTTTTTGCAATTCTTATATTATCAATTTTTTCTTATGTCATTTCCTTACAAAAGAGGTACGCAGCCAATTTTCTAATCCTAATATCCTTGCTTTATTATCTATACATACTCATTTACAGGCTTAGAATTATATTTGAAACGCCTTAAAATTTTACATGTAAATAATATTATAATATATCCATTTATTAAACTTTTGTAATATTTTCATATTATTGCAGTGGAAATTAAATCTATTTCTAATTTCTTAGGATATCATATCAATTCAATCGTAGTATACATATATAGTATACAGGATATACATATAATAATATACAATCAGCATATGAGGTCTAATTCAGAAAGGTACAGATTTTTCTTGCCAGTATCATTGAGTTGTCAACTTATACTTGACATTCGTTAAAATTAATCATGACCCAAAAATTCTTCTGTCCAAAATTTGCATTGGTTTTCATAGTTAAATTACTCGGAGTGTCTATATATAAGTAAAGAAAGTCATTGTCACTATTATTAATTATTAACACAATTATTAACACCGATAATATAACAAATATAAATTTTCGCAAAAATTTTATCTTGACCGTTTCCTAGGTGTTTAATTTTTGGAAATACTGTAGAAGTTCTAGTTTACTTGGAAACCGAAGATATAAAAATTTAACGAATTTCCTTTCGTCTTATTATAGATAAAAAGCTTACGAATTCGTTGATAATTCCGCATAAGTCATGAAAACTCATTGATTATAATTTCTATAGTTACCATTTTAAATAGTAGAGGGCGTAAACATCTCTAACTTGATACAATCGATATTTTAGTATAAGGTACATAAAGTAATAGATTTATATTACACCACTCCCTTAATTCACACAACACTTTTTTAATGCTAGTTTCCTTTTTACTCTGTAAATTAGAACATAATCTACGCGGCCAGACCACGTTGCCTTGTCAAGAATTTTATAAACCAACGGTTGCCGGTGGACATCGGTTGGCATCAGCAGCAGAGATAAAAAGAAAGCCAAACCTTTGAAACATACCGAGCGAATGGCTAGTTTCGTTCTATTACTAACAGACTTTATTTACACGATCTTCATTCCCGTAAAACGAATACACGTGAACCGAATAATTCGCATAAATTGAGAGATGACTGTATATCTCGTTTGTGGTATACCTAAAGTAATGAATTCACAAGCAGGAGATATAAATTGTATCTGTGATTAATATAATCTCTCAACTTATTTTGATGTAAATATTTATATAAGTTTAAAAAATATACTTATCAAACTTATTTAAGAAAGTGTATAACAAATTATAATATTTCTATCTACAAACTTCATAGGGAATTTATTTTTTAATTATCAATAATTTCAAACGTTAATTTGCAGGTGGCGGGAATCACTATATAATAGTGTTTAACGTGTGTTGTTTAATATCAATTGTTCGTTATTGTTTCATTATAATATTGTCATAAATAATATTCAAATTTGTTTGTTTCATCAGTTTGCATCCATGGTTTTCATTTAGTTAAACAACTACTCGTCTGCTGTAGCTACTAGTAAATTCCTTAAACTACGATGCGATGAATAAGGTTATCTCGTAAAAAAGTCGTAATCTCCAAAAAAAAAAAAGATAGTGTCTAAAAATTGCGTCTAATTTGTCTAAATAACTCTTTTTTACAATGGATATTGTTCCAACGCAAGTTTACCAAGACTTTGATTTTACATCGACACAAGAGATTTCTCAATCCGCGCCCCAGAATGATATACAGGTAAAACTTTAATATTTTTAATATTCTCTTTTCATATTTAATTTTATATTCTTTCTTTTACCCACTTTTTATATTTGATACACTTTTTCTGTACTTCCATTTAATCTTTATTCTTAATTTCTGTGTTGGTTATCTTAGTTGTAAATTGTTTTCATGACAATTTTTATAATTGATTTTATTACTACAAAATACAGTTTATTTATGTCAAATGTTTCAGATTGGGATGCTCATTATAGGTTCTAATACATATCCGGTCAAACAAGGAATTAATTATATTGGTAGACATCCAGATTCCGATATCGTAATCAATGATTTGGTAAGTACTTATATTGTTTTGCTTTATATATAATATTTAAATTAAGTATACTTATTTTTAATCTTACTAATTATTCATACTTTTAATAGTCTGTTACAATCATTTGTAAAACATAAAACATAAAAAATGGATATTTTATTGTGATTACAAATTTAATCTTTATAACACACACGAATCATATTTTATAATGTCTAATTTTTATCTTTGATATGTTCTCCAATGGTTTTATTCAGGGTGATCTTAAATAAATTAGAAATAGAAATAAGATTTCAATTAATTTAGGATTTATATCTCATTAAGATTTTATTTATAATAAAAGGATTACAATAAAAATTTCTATAATTTAATAATTATTCAAGTGTAATAAAAAATAATAGGAGACATCTTTATAATTCTTCTTTTAATGTACCAGATGTTTTACTTAATTTGTTTTCATTAAAATTAATAGAATTCCAAAAATCTTTGTTTCCAAAATTTGTATGACTATCCATATGAATTTGATTTAATCCAGCAATGTGCAAATACCTAAGTGGTTTTTCATTGGATTTTAATCTTGACCACTGAGCATTGCCAACATTTGGTACTCTGAATCAAATAAAAACAGAAGATTATGAAGCTGTGACATAAGTTATCTTCTTTAAATTATTTTGATGTATTTCATTAAACATATATACTCACCCATTCGTTGTAAATGATACCCAGAAATCAATTAAAATTCTTTGCATTTTAATATCATTTGTTGTTGTTGTGGGATCAAGATAAGGCGTGTCTACGACCAAATATCCATCATCTGCATGGCTGACACCTGTAGAAAATGCATCATAAGTGCAACTATCCTTTTCTTCTTTTTATTAAATTTTCACTTTAAATGACGTACCATAATTATTAGTAGTGCCACTCATGGAATCACTAACACTATGTGCACCTCTATACGAATAATAATAATACCAAACAGGTTGTTGATTAACTTTAGCCTGCATTCTAGCAGCTTTTTCACTATCGACAACAAAAAATCTATCACTGGCTACACGTATTAAGGAATCTGTTGTTGTTTCGTCAATTTTCTTCGATCCAAAATACTGATTTCTAATGAGTCTAGCAATTTCAACATGCTTCTCTTTAGGAAGAGTATAATTGTAATCAAGGAGATAAGGTGCAAGGAGGTCCCAGTCATCGTTCAATGCTTTCAAGGCTTCTGGCTTAGCAATAAATTCTAAAAGATGAGTGATTTTAAATTATAATTCAAAGTCACACGAGCATTTTAAAATCTTCATCAAATATTTTTTACCAGCGACTGGATACAATCCTTCGTCACTAGTAACTCCAGTAACCCATGGGACATCTTGAACATCACCGCTATTCACGATTTCAACAGGTGTTCGATTGATAAATGGTTCATCACCGTATTTCTCCGGTACTGGTCCGAACGGTGTAAATGGATTATAATAGAATCGCTTTAATAAAATTATGAATTTTGAGTAAAAAATTACACAAAGATACTATTGACAGTAAAACAAATTGATGATAAAGAATACTTACCAGAAACTTCTCAAGGGCTTGAACCATAGTTCTAGCTGGACGGTATCTAAGACAACGTACCATTTCTCTTGTACTACCTGTGAGACAACCCATAAGGACTCCTAGTTGTTTGGCTTTTTCTAAAGAGTTTTCTGTTTGAGTCCAGCAATCAAAAGCCGTACCACTGATCGATATACCACCTGTATTACGCAAAATGAGAAAAGATAAAATATACGTATATATAAAGCTTATAGAATTCTTTACAGTATCAAAGTATCAATATCAAAAAACGTTATAATGTTCTTGAAAAGAGTAGATATTTTCGTGAGCACCTTGGAAAAGACCAGCGCTCATGGGAGATAAGTAATGATAATGAACACTAGCACCGCCAGCACTCAAACCGATCAAAGTTATTCTCTTTGAATCACCACCAAACCATTCGATGTTTTCTGAAACCCATCGTAACGCCATACTTTGGTCCTTCAATCCCATATTACCAGGAACTACTTCATCTTCTGTGCTGAGGAAACCTAGAAAACAAAGATAATTTATTACATTTCAAAATTAATGATCCTTATTTCTTTTTCTAGGTATGCTATTATATTTCAAAAAGTTATAAAATTATTTTTAAATACCTAACATTCCTAAACGGTAGTTGAACGTAACAAATATGACGTCACGATCCATGAGATACTTGGCACCCATTTCCATTCCGCTACCAAATTGGAAAGCTCCACCATGGATCCAAAAGATAACTGGTAAGGATTGCGAGGTTGTTCTTCTTTCAGTCGGCACATAAATATTTAAGTAGAGACAGTCTTCGGCACCTTGAACTCTATCATTTGGATCTATAGGTAATTGTGCGTATTGTAAACAGGCAGAGCCAAATTTTATCGCAGGAAGCTCGCCCATCCATGGTGGTAGTCTTTGAGGAGGCTAAAGGAAACATATTAATTTTTATCATCATTTTAAAATAATCAGATAAAGATTCATATTGTGTAATTTTTTCAGTCCAAAGAATCAAACTGTATGCAGTTTTTACCTTGAATCGAAGCTTTCCGGTCGGAGGCAGCGCATAAGGAATTCCTTCGTAAGCTTCGTACTGTCTTCCATTTGCAGACACTTTATAATATCCCCTAATTGCACCGAGAGGAGTTTTAACTCTGGGAACATCTTCTGTGGACCACGAAAAAGTCACGAATCCGAACAGAAATAGAAGAAACTGTAGTCTTGTCATCTTCGTTAGAATGATGCCTGCTCGATCATCCTCGTTTATTTATTGCACACCTTTTGAACGTTATTTGCATGTGTTGGCTTAGATAAATATGCGACACAAATGTATAATATTTGTGATTATATAAGAGCTCCTATGTACATGTAAATCGGTCGATTAGTTTCTATATTCAGAATCTTTTTTGCCAATTATCGTTTCGAAACGGGCATGGGTCGTGATAAGTTGTAATACACGGATCAGTTTTTACTCATATATGTACGAACAGACAGTGTACACGATGTACAAGAGTTGTGCTTTTATTAGTTTACAAACATGATAAGATTAAATTACTGCATTGTTCCATCGAAGAAAGAACTCGATGTATTTCAATCATTCTAACAGAAATCGTCGAGTATGAGATCGTTCAAATATTTTAATAAATTAATATCAGTTGATGGGTATCATTTGCAAAACAAAAGAGATAATAACGATAAGAATAAACATAGGAATTGGAGTAATTCACTTCCTTGCACTAGTATATACTTCAGTATATGATTATTCATAATTCATAATAACTGGAGAGCGAGTACAATGTTGTTTATTTAATTTTGCTATGTGTTTCCAATAAGAACGTCTTTAGAACGATAAGATAGTAAAAATCAAATAATAAACATTATTACTTTGTAATAATTGCAAGAAGAATTTGATCATGAAAATTAGATTTTATATAATGCGCCTAGAATTTCTACTTTTATTTTGATTTCTAGTCGGTATTATTTTCTTATTTGTGTATTGTGATAAATTTGCTTTATTTAAAAAAGGCTAAAGATATTTAATGTTAAATATATAATTTTTGAAAATTATTAATAGATATGTTAAAAGATGTTGAAGTATTTTACGCGATGTATTCTTCTGATTAAATAAGATTGATTAATCTTATCACAAAGACATTTTTTAATAAATCATCAATCTTCCAGTTAAGTATGAAGACAAGAACTTAAAATGGACAAGTTATACAAAATCGAAATTGTCACTAATATTAAAATATCTAATTATGTCAAAGATAATTGAATAGTAACGAGATTAATTCAATTTGCAGACGGTATCTAAGAAACACGCAGAGATCGAGATTAATGGTTACGAAACGACAGCATGGGTTTGCGACCTAAATTCTTCTAACAAGACAAAGCTAAATAATGTAATGTAAATTCTATTTATAGATTAAATTTAGTTAATTTCTATGTATGTATTACATATTTTACAATTTTTAGCATTTTGCAATTAGGTTTTATTATTTCTTTTATTACTAATAAAATAAAATTAAAACAAATTACATTTAATTAATATTATTTAGTGTTCTTTTGTATAGTCAATTCTCAGGCCAAATCGATGCTATGAACTCAAAAATGGAAACGTATTGGAATTTGGTTTGGTGCGAGCAGTTTACAAAACCTGCCGGTCAGCAGATGAATCTTTAATTGTAGGGCCTACAATTCAAAATCGGAAGGTACAACAATTGATTATTCCAGGGACACCTGACTCATCATTGGTAATTATCATTTATTTTATTATTATGCAATATATCACATAAATGTATTATCATATATATTCTGTGTAGAATAATTCGTCTAGTTTGGGAGAAAATATCTCTGTTATTCCTGCCACCCAAGCTGATGAGAAAGAATCCGTATTTCGATGCCCGACATTGCCTCTAAGAACTTCCACTAGCAGCGCCCGAAAGAGCAGCATTATCAGTTCCTCTATTGACATCAGCGTGGACGATCTTCAAAGTTTCGATGCAGAGAAAAAAGAAAATGTAGGTCCAGCAAGAATTGGTATTAATGAAATGGAAACGCAAAAATTGTTTGAATCCAATAATGAAACGAATTCTGACATTCACGATGTTGAAACTCAAAAAATGGGTTTAGACAAGATAGAAGATCTTTCAAAATCTTCGAATAAACAAGAAATCAATATACACGACGTAGTAAAACAATGTATAACTAATGCGCAAGGGAATATTACTGATATTCATGATGTAGAAACACAACCTAGTACAGGCATTCACGATATGATAACATGCAAAGAAATTAATGTTCAAAATATTTCAACTCGAAACAATAGTACTCGGGATAATAAGACATTTGAAACAGAAATTAACGAAAAGGAAAACAATAATGTTAATAATAAAGTAATGCAAGAAATTGATGCTAATGAGAGCACATCAGATTCTAATGATGCTACTAAACGTAAAAGTAGAAGTGAATACGTGCAAAATATTGAAAAAAATTTGCAAAAAGATTCGCAAGAGTGTCCGCAATTATTATTTACAACAAATTATGAAAATGAATTTGACACAAGTCGAAATTTACTTGGTTCACAAAATTTATTAGAAGATTACATCAATAATGACGAGCTATCTGATGATGATAAATCAAAATCATTAGCTTCTGTAAAAGTCTCGTCAAACGACGATGTAAATAGTAAAAGTGATAACGAAAGTATTTTTGATGCCGCGACACAAATCAATAAAATTGATGAAAGTGCTTTTAACAATGGAAATCAACGTGTTAAATATACGTTTAAATCTCCTGTAGTAACTGACGACTCTGATGAAACTGATAATGAATGTATCTTTCAAAGGTATTTGTACAAAAATGATAAAGAAAATGAACAATTTGCAAAAGGTCAAGTGGTTGATAGCGATGATTCAACTACGGATGAAGAAGGTCAATTTATGTTAATAGCAATGAAGGAAAAAGCGAATTGCTCCTTTGAAAAGGAGTTTAACAAAAATAAAGAAGCTAAAAATAATACTGGTTCAAGCGAAGATTCTGAAAATTTATTTGATACACTTACTCAACCAATAAATCATAAGAATAAAGATTCACTCTCAAGACAGGATAATGAGAATGAAGTAGATTCTGACGCCCCAACACAAGTTATTAGTAAGGAAGTAACCAAAGATTATATTGAAAATAAAGATAAACATGCAAAAGAAACAGATGACATGGCACCAACACAAGTCCTTTTAACGACTGAGTCTCCCTCAAAAGGGACTAGGCCTCCTACTACTTCAATAACAAATGAAATAATTTCTGATAAAGAAGATATTACCGAAATAGAAGACAATATACCAACTCAGATAATTAATATTACTATGCGAAAGGAGGTTTCAAGTATGAATAATGATGAATATTTGAATCCATTAAATCCTCTGGCAATAAGTACTGTAAATGATTGTAGTATTGATAACAGTGATTATGAAATGGCACCTACTCAACCAATTAGTGATATTAAGAATCAGAAATCTATACTGTCAACTACTAATAAGAGTACAAATGTGTCAATAAAATCTAAAGCATTGAATACAGTGAATTTAGATGACACGATAGAAAGAAATTTGAACGCAATATTTGAAGATGTAAATGAAGAACGTATTGAAGAACACATGCAAATGTCAACTCAAGTTCTTGAAAACGTGTTACAGTCACCACAGTATGAGGATAAATTACCTGACAAGAATGAAAATAGCGATACATCGACCGATAATAAAACAAAGTCTATAAAAGGAAGAAAGAGTAAAACATTAAAAATCGACTCAAATGTAACAAATAAAATATCTCGTAAATCTGATATAAAAAATAATAACGATTCACAAAATACAGAGAATTTTGCCACTATTTCGACAGAAAAACGTAATGTTTTAATAGATTCTCGAGATCCAGCAGAACCTACTGTAAACACTTCTAACGAAAATATAGAAAAAGAGAAAACAACATTAGGAACTTGTAGTAATATGAATAATAACAGCAGCAGTGTTTCTGTTACATTGTCAAAATGTATATTCGATGATCCATCAACACCAAAACCTGCACCTAAAAATTCATCAACTCCAAAATCTATATCTAAAACTTTATCAACTTCAAAATCTGTACCTGCGGATTCATCTACACCAAAATCTATACCTATATTAGATGAAAATTTATCAATCCCAAAATCTGTATCTAAAGATCCATCAACGCCAAAATTGAAAAGAAAGAAATATGATAGGCCAAAAACAGGTGAAGTTCAAGAAGAAATTAAGATATTTGAAAAAGATAAGAATGAATTAGACGAATGTTCAAGAGACATAGACAGTCAAGCATCTAATACATTAATCAATGAACAACTTCAACGACTTACCAAAGTACCAGAAAATGACGATGAAGATATTTTAGCTGGTTTACCCGAAGTTAGAATTTCAGGTACTTTATCAAACCCAGCAAGTCCAACTTCGTCAATTTCATCTGAATATAGAATTAATATTAATCATAATCGAAGAAAACAAATATCCGTAAGAATTGCGCCTAAAAAGAGAGAAGCTTCCCGAAAATCATCACGAAAATCACTTGCTCGTAAAAACGTGGAAAATACTGAATGTCCTACTGCTATTAAGCCAAATTCATTGGAAAACAATTTTGATGTTGATAAAGAATCTGTACATGATAATAGTAAAAAAGATAAGAAGCCCAAACGATTGGTTAAGAAAGTGACAACCAAAAATGAACGTAAAAAAAGCGATACTTTGCCACAGTCAAAATCGATCGCCCCTATTAATTTGCAAGAGAAAATAAGGCAAAGTCCTCTCATTCTGAATTACCGAAAGACCCGTAATTCTAGCAAAGAGAATATTGATCGTTCATCTGTTTTTCAGGTACGAAAAGAAGCGCTGATTGAAAATGAAGTTGCTGAATCTGCAAAAGGAATTGATTTAAACATATCACGCATTGGAAAAAGATCACTAAGCGTGACGGATGCGACTGAAAACTATCCAAAAAAACGCAAAGAAGATATTAACGAAGATGCGACTGTTGATACTAATGATAGAAAAAAGAATACTGTAGCCAACAGAAGACATTCTGCAAATACTCTTAATTTTATTATGAAAGGAAACTCGTCAATCAATACGTATGGTTCGAGTATTAAAAAATCAACTGATCAAGAAGCAAACTTAGATAAACAGGCAATAATAAAAGTTGTCAGAATGTCTGTGGGTACTCCAACTGGTTCGATATCTTCAAGTACTTCAACAGAATTGATGATTGAAAACAATAACAGTAATAAAATTAGACAAAGTCAATCTAAAACTTCCATAGATAGCCAGGTTGTCACAAATATTTCGAATAATGAAAATAAGAAAACCACCAAGACTGTAGGAACGCGAGGAAATGCAAATCGAAAGAGGATCAATAAATTTGAATCTCACGTGGATGATATAAGTTCTCAAATTGGAGAGGAATCCCAAGAAATAGAAATGATCATGAACGGTATGCTCACAGAAGAAAATATCGATTCAAATAGAGAAAAAAAGAAAAAAGTTAGTAAAAATACAAAAAGTAAAAATACTAAAACAAAAAACACGAGGGGACGTAGAAATACAAATACAAATACTTATACGGATGTTGATAATACAGAGAGCAGTAGTACTTCTTCCACTTTTTACGAATCTGATAACGCACGTTTTGAAATACCCATAATAAAACTCAAACAAGTTAAGATTTCCAAGAATGGTTCGAATAAAACTAATGCTCCAGTAAACGAATCTATTAAGGAGACGAAAAGAAACATCAAACAGTCGAGTAGATTAATTCAATCTCATCAGCAATCAGTTACAGAGTCTTCTGTAGAAGAAGAAACAGAAACTGATAATCAAACTGTTTCTGGTAATACTACGAATAAAACGAATAATTCAAGAAATAAACGGCAAAGACAGAAAACTGAAAACGTTGAAAGTAATAAAAAGCAAAAAAGAGATCTCGTAAAAAAAACTATTTCAGATTCAAATTCCAGCATCGAAACGGCATCGATACTTTCAACACCTAATAGAACACGTAGAAGTATGACTTCTTCATTTACGTCATCGCCATTCAAAATAAAGCATAAAATCTTATTTACGGGTATTTCGAATAACAATTATAACAAATTGTTAACAAAGTTAGGTGTGTATTGCATCATTTTGCAAAAAAAAATACATTTGCAAGTAACTGTAGCTGCATTTAATATTTTTTCCTTTTGTAATAGGTGCATCTCAAGTCGAAGATCCAACAAAGTGTACTGTATTGGTTACAGACAAAGTTCGACGAACTGTTAAATTTTTATGTGCTTTGTCATTGTCTGTACCTATAGTTTCAGTTGATTGGTTGGTTGACAGTGAAAGAAGTGGACATTTTGTTGAGTTAGAAGATTACATTTTGAAAGACCCTGCTGCTGAAGCTAAATTCCGTTTTAAGTTAGCAAAAAGCTTAGAAAAAGCAAAGAAGCATAAACTTCTAGAAGGATACACACTTGTCTTAACTCCTAACGTCGCGCCACCACCTTTACCAGAATTAAAAAGTATGTTTTAAAAATAATAATTGCTTCAGTTTTATTCATTAAAAAAATATAACTTCTTTTACAGGTATCATTATGTCATGCGGTGGTAAAGCTTTACTCCGACCACCATCATCATGGCCTCAAAAAGCAATTATTATTTCACGCGAGGAAGACTTAGGTAATGCGAACAAATTTTGTGCAAGAGCACCTAAAACTGTTACCATTCAGTCGACAGAATTTATATTAACTGGTATTTTGAGACAAGAATTAGAATTTAAGGAATTCAAGTTAACATAGTGTTAACAACATAATTTATTTCTTAAATTTCTTTAATAGAACAAGAATATCGAATAATAGAACAAAAGTGTGCAAATTATTTGTATATTTTTTGAGTATTTTTATATGAATACATTTGTACAAATTAAAAGATGCATTAAGTTCTGTAATTGATGTAATGTTTTATCTGATAACATTTACTTATAATATGTAAGTATAATATGTTTTGTAAAACTTATTAACGCTTCATAAATTTTTAACACAAGTCTTTTAATCTATGTGCAGATTCTTCGTAATTTCAACTATTTAGAAAATAATTTGTAATATTTTTAGTATAACGTTAAATAATATACAGTATTTGATTATTGTGTAGTAATTCTCTTAAGAAAAATTATTTTTTAAATCCCTTTTAAATATACAGCATGATCTGTTTATATTTAGTATTGATATTAAGGGTGGTTTATAAAATTTGATTATTTAAATAAATACATTTTTCAATAATTATAAACTTTATTATTCGTTAAAATTACAGTCATTTTTTATTTAATACTTTCAACCAGTGAACTCAATATTATTCTGAATGTAATAAAAATCGTTCTTAAATTACTTTGAAAAACAAATGTAATCTCTTTAATTATTCACACTGAATAAAGTATTTTTTACACTGTGAAATAAATTTGTAATTACTAAATTGAGCAATTGTGTTTCAATACCAATTGAAATAAAACATAATTAAATGCTCAATACCTAGAAAATTTGTACACTGTGCGTAAATCCAATACAAATATTACTTAAGTTTCTAATGTGTCATGAGAACTCTAGACTCAGACAGTTCTGAATCAAGAGAGTCTAACTAGAAAAGAGTTACATATACTTATATAAGTCATAATATATCATGACTAACAATAGTGATTTTATATGATTTAATATTTGTACTAAGTACTAATTATCTTAATCTAACTGCGAATCTATGTTTAATAATTGAATGCATTAGTAAGAATAAAAAAAAAATGGAAAAACTGTTTATTATATTTAAGAATGTTTAAGAAATGTCAATCTGCTAGATTTGACAAATACTTTTTCCAAAAGTAGGACAGCAATCTCCAAGCTTCTGAAAAAAAATAAATCATTGAAAATAAGTATAATTAAAAAATTATATTTTTAAAAATAGTTCATGCCCATATATGTCTATTTGTGTATTTATCACTTCGCATAACAAAAAAGCAACAAGTGTCGGTAAGAAATGAGTCATCTTTGAAATGTTGCGTAGTGATAAAAAATGAAGTATAACAACATTAACAAGCTGTTACAACAGAAACAGCCAATGGTATAAAATCGACAATTATTAAAAGAATTTGGATTTGATGGCTTTCAATCGCATCAAGGAATATGCCTTTTGACGACTACAATTTTATAGAGTGAAAAACAAGAATGTAAACACAAATAAACTCGGCCAAGGTTGCGGACCTTTCCGGCCGCACTGAAATCAATAACGTAATACAATCAAAGCATGACGTTAGATATTACGCCGCAATTAAATAAAGAATCTTTACTTACTGCTTATGCTTTGGTCTTTCCAGCATGCCGTTTATTATGCTCAGAATTCATCAATTTAGTGAGGATCTTTCTAGAATGGCCGCACGGGTCAAAATGATTTGTGTGCGTAAGAGCTTCACGTTTGCTTCGTTGTTTTCCACTGTGACCGGTAAAAATATGCTTGTCGTAATCGTAATTGAAGTGTTCGTATTCGTCAACATAGTAGTCAGACATAGCTCTTGTTTATTACAAAATACTTGAAAAATAACAATAGCGATGGTACAATCGGAAAACTTCCTCTTTTCTTCTCAAGTTTACTTCAAACTATTAGGACGCCGTTTACTGTAACTGCTTATATATGCTACGCAAAAACTACTGCGCAAGCGCAATATCCAGTAATGTCTCTAGTATTTCAAATGCCTGACATAAGATTCATTTTAACAAATCAAATCCTTTATACATTATAAATTAACTTTCATTGAGATTACTCAAAATAAAGAAGTAAATTTTAACTTCTTTATCGTTTTAACATACGTGTAATAAGTGATATTCAAATAAAAGAATGTATTTGAATGTGATAATATCAAAAAGATTTTGATACTCTTCAAATTATTCATTTCAGAAATTAATGAAATTATTTAGTCTAGTAATCATCATGAAAAGTTTTGCAATCTACTCTTCAATAATTTACTTTATATCATTTTACATTTTTTTTTTTACATTTTTAAATATTTTAACCAGGAATATTGTTCTATATGAAAATAATTTAATGTGATTAATGTAATGTAAATAATTAGGGGCATCTATCATAATATTATTTGTTAAAAATCCATATACGAATATAAAAGGAATAATTTTATAATGCATTTAGACAGCCCTGGTAATATATCATCTTAGCTTGGTACTGTATGCACATTCAACGGTAATCTTAAGTATTTTCTCAAGTATTGTTTCAAGTTTGAACAGATTTAAAATTACATACAACGATATACGAAAAATATATACCTGCGTATCCAATATTAATAAGCTCTGGTTTTATGTATCAGATTTCTGTTAAACGAGGTAATCCGTATGTTTGGCAACAAAACGTTGAATTATTACGCACGCGCGATCAGTCTCATCATTACATTGACTTCTAGCAGTCTCCCTACCATCGTAAGCAGAACGTTATTGTACATTTTGCGTTTATCGTTCGCTGAAATACGTCAAAAGACGTAAAACAAAAAATACAGAAATGTTTGTATGGAGCGTAACGAAACAATCGTTATTAAACATATTTTTCGTATTATATTGAAAAGATTTGATGTAAATTAACACGACAATATGCAAAGACGTATGTATTATTTATGATAACAAAATTTCAGGTTAATCGACTTCCTGTAATTCGAATGCGAATGATATTGGTATTCAAATATTAACATGCATCAATTATTAAAGATCTAGCGTGACTCGTGACTATTAAACATTAAGTCTTCCATGTAAAAGTACGTATGCATACATATATATTTGACGACGTACAACGTTGTACAATATCGACCGCCCGCCTGCTTACAATATATTGCATTTATATACATGTATGCTATAACATTTTATCTTAATATTTTGAGTAAATTGATCTTTGCGTTTAATTTTTTGTGACGATGATAAAAAATGCAATCTCATTTGAAGAATGTGACGTGCACGTATTTATGCTATTCGTACATAAAAATTACTGCGCAGTATGTCAAGTGAACGGTTAATCAGTACTACCAGAAACTGTCGACTTTATAAAATTAGTCTACTGAAAGGATGCCGTATGCGTGAAATCCCGTTAATCGATCTAATCTTGTTACTACAGCATATACCTAGAAATATCGAAGACCGAATATACATACATATATGTATATAGTGGTGAAACTGGATCGATATGTCTCGATTAACGCCATGTGCGATATATCGTTTTCATACTTTCTTTGCGAGAATAAAAACGAATTAACTTTGTTTCTTTTTTAAACTTTAACTATTTTTTAGAGTTTTCAAGTTAAAAAGTGGAGATTGTTTTCTACGAAGTAATAATCATATTAAATATTTTAAACAAATTAGAAGGTACTTTAATATTACTATATTTTTTTTTTTTTTTTTTTTTTTTTAAAAAAAATCTATTCCAGGCAAAAGTAATCAATATGTACATAAAATTTGCAATTTCAATAATCTGGAAATCTGATAAATAGTGGATTTATACATTTCATTGAAAATGTTTATAAAAAATTTGTTTAATAATGTCTTGATATTCGAACTTCGTACTTCTTTGTACTTCTTAAATTGTCCTCTTGTAGCATTAGATACAATATTCATCAATTCTGCCATGGGATATTTTGAACGAGGATAATTATTTGTTTTATAAATTTTATACAAACGTTAAATTCATTGTTACATAATTCAGTTATTAATTAATAGTGGAATGTTTGAGTATAAATTTTTGCATGGATCGATACTATTAGACAGAATCTTATTCCATTGAATGAAAGTTTACTAGAACCTTCCTGTATCGTGATTAATCATACTGAGATTGCGTGAGTAATATAAAAGAATATTTTCATTATTCATATAACAAATTTCATAAGCTAAAACATATTAAAAAAAAAAGAAGAAGAAAGAAAATAATATGAAGAAGTAACATATGCAAAAATTTTATTGAAGGACTTTAGTTTTGCACAATTTAGTATGGAGCAAACATCACAATACACATTATGAAAAGTTTCTCTTTGAAACGATTTTTATATATTTTTATGATCGAACGTTAATAAGCTTAATACCGAGAACTTAAATAACACTTATTATGTTCGACGATCATACGTCAATTCAGCGATTTATATATTGGAAGATATCATTTATGTTTCATCAATAATCATTTTGATAGTGTTTAATCAAGTCCATACACGTCTCCTCCTTTCCGGAAGTCCGCGTTTGCATATACTATATCGTTCTTGGTGAAAATGATGCAAGCTACGCTGCCTCGAACTCTATAACGAACAGTTTTATGGCCAATCTTTTTCAAGCCATCGATCACCTGCTTTGGCACGCCATACTCGTAAGCCACCTCTGTTGGAAATAACTGATGATGTATTCTGGGAGCGTCCACAGCTTCCTTTACTGTTTGGCCCATCCACAGAATTTTTGCCATTATCTGAATATGTGAATTTAAAAAAATAATATATTTAACAAAATTTCTGCATTAAAACCGGTCAGATAACAAATTATATTAAACATGAGAATTATAAGAGAAAAAAATAGTCAGTCAAAAATAATGCAATAATTTTTTTTGTTGTCATATTCTAATTACATTATTAATCATTGGATGATGTTTACGAAATGCCCGATAACTTAATCAATTGATAAATACTGACCTGAGAAACTGTTGTAGTGATTTTAGTACCACCAGAAGCACCAACGACCATTTTTACATCGTCATTTGAGTCGACAAGGATTGAAGGTACCATAGAGGACAAAGGCCTCTTCCCAGGAGCGATATAATTATTTGGACTGGGTGGAACTCCGAAGTAACTAATCGTTGATGGTACACCAAAATCATTCATCGCATTATTCAGTAATATTCCAGTACTTTCACTGACTACTCCGCTTCCAAAGCTAATAAAAATAGATTATACAGTACTAAGTATTTCATAGGTGTGTTACTATTAATGCTAAATATTAATTTTGGTACTAACATTTAATCTTTTAATTCATTTAACATTCTTGTCTATTGTTAGTTGCAAAAGTAATTAATAAAATCTATCTAAAGATTGTTTGATGTTAGCAAATAAACATACTAGAAATTGATAGTACTAGTAGCTGATACTGCATCTCCATTTGGCGCTAATACTGAAACATGAGCGGTTCCTTGATCCTTTGCACTGCTCAGCGTGTGTGCTCCATAATGTGCTGGATCATCCCATGTTCTATGATCGTCTATCTTCAGTCGCGTTTCTTGCGCATGAATCCTCGACGTCAGGTTCTTTGTTAACTTAAACGAATAGAATTATAATGCCAAGTTATAAAGATAATTCTGTATAAGGTTTTCAAATCTAATCCACATCATCTTTGAGAAATTTTACTGATACAGTATCAATATATCCACAAATCACTGATAAAGTACTAGAATAACAGAGAAAGTGTTTGCTCAATAAACTATATTGTTTACTAACTTCCTCCATGTCGACAAATTCTTTATCGGCCATATCATTTCTCAACGCGTATGCGTACTTAAACGTCTCTATCATTCGATGATATGTAAGAGTGGTTTGGTTAAAATCAGCTATACTGTCAGGAGTAAAATTAAACTCATTTAAGATATTTAAAATATAGGTGAGAAGAGCTCCACTCGCAGGTAAACCGATTGTGAATAATTTCATTCCATTGGCAAGGTTTGATTGAAGAGGTTCATCCCACGTTGCTCTACAAATAATTCTAATTAAAATTTCAATGCTAGATAATTTGTAATTTTTTAAGTACTTTAATTATCAATACCTATAACTATTCAAATCTTCAAATGTTATTATTGAGCCCTTCTCTCGTAAATCTTGTACTAAAAGTTTACCCAAGGTTCCATTATAAAATTCTGAAACTCCTTTCTCTGCGATTATTCGCAAAGTTTTACAAAGTGCTTTTGGTTTAATAATCGTACCCGGTTTATAGAAATCGTTTGTATTTGGATCTACGAATAACTCCCTGAAACAAGAAGAACTTGTGTTTATTACTATCAGACTTACGACAAAAGATCGATTACAGAAACCATTCTGCATTTACTTTAATACGCGATCATTATAAATATTTTTTTCATTATATCTGAACCCGTCGTATTGGATTTTTGTCAAATTGTATCCTTCTTCGCATATCTCGATGGATGGTCTGAATAAATCAGCCCATGGTAATTTACCAAATTGTTTATGAGCTTCCGAATATCCTGCTAATTCACCAGGAACGGCGATTGCTAACGGACCTAATATAATTCGTGGACATATAAATATCATAACTTTCTATTTATTCGTTATTAAAAACGATGAGAAAGGATATGTTTACCTATGAACGACGCCTCTTTGGGTTTTCCTTTATACATCATGGCATTAGCAGCTAACGGAGCACGGTCTCTTGCGACTAACGTGTAGGCACGTGCGGAGGCTTTATGGTAAATTGTCATAAAAAATCCACCTCCGATGCCCATACTTTGCATATTGACAAGACCGTTGCAGATCATTGAAGCAATAGCAGCATCAACTGCTG